CCTCCACCAAACACCCCCTCCGCAAGCCTGGATCTAGCCCAGGGCTGGCCAGGGAGACATCATGGGCACCCATGGGGCTGGGGAGAGGCGCATGCCACACACACACACACAGAGAGCAAGGGTGGCTGCATGCAAGCGGCGATGTAAGAGGCTGGGGTCACAGCTACGGTGCCAGCCCCACCCACACCCGACCTGCCACCGGGCACCTCCACCGCGTAACTGCAGCAACAGGCCGTGGCTGCCTCCTGGTTGCTATAGCAGCGGCCGCGCACGAGCTGAGCTGCAGGGAGGGAGAGGAGAGGCCTGCTGGGCAGGCCGGCAGCCAGAGGGGCATCTGGTTACAGGCAGGCAACACAGGTTCAGCCCCATCTGGACACCTGACCTAGGCACCCCACCCGGAGCCCTGCAAGGTGGTCCAATCCCTGTCCCTGGTGCCCCAATGAAGTCCCTGGGGCCTGGGTGCCCTGGCCGGGCCTGCACCCCCTCCTGCTTTGTCAAGGGCAGAGCAGATGAGACCTGAGGGGGGAGTTCTGCCTCCCACCCCAGCAACCTAGAGACAGCGACCTGGTCCCCCCACCAGGAGCAGCCTGTGGCCCCACCGTAGACCCACATCCAGCTAACTGGGAGGGGATAGGCCACACTCACAGATGAGAAACTGAGGCACAGAGCTTAGGAAGAGGGAGCAAGCAAGGCACACAGGCCCTGGGTTCCTCCCCTCCAGACCAGGCAGGCTTTCCGCAGGGCACATCCCCCTCAGCGAGGCCACCAGCATGCAGGCAAAACCTCTGCTGGCCAAGCCCAAGGGTCCAACTCTGAAGCCCAAGACCCTCCTGGGAAAGTGGGGGTCTGGCAGGAACATGCCCAGCATCGGGCCAGCCCCAGCCCCAGCCCCACATTGTGAGCTCGGCAAGCCCTCAGCCACCCTGGAGAAAGAATTTCTGGTTCGCTGTAGCCACAGGCTAAGGATCTCCATGTGCTCTAACCAGCCCCTGCAAACACCATGGGGCAGGGGCACAGGGAGCTTTTGGGGAGGCCCAACCTAACAGGTGGAGGCCACTCCTGGGTACAGGACAGTGGGCACCTCTCACCTGCTTGCCGGGTGCCTCACAAGTCACTGCTTCCTGCCCTGAACCTTGGGGTCCCCAGTGGATGCAGGGGCCATCATTCTAGCTCCTGCTCCCAGCCCCAGTGGGTCCTTCTTGCCAAGAGCCCGAGGCTGATACTGATGCATGCCCACATCTCAATGCCCCTCCCCCTGAGCCCCGCCCTGCTGTCCCCAGTGACCCAGAACCTGAGGCAGAAGAAGCTGCACCAGAGGCCGCCTGGGGCTGCAGGCCTGATCCACAGGACCCAGCCAGCCAGCCCCAGGCACGCTGGGCAGGGAGTGTACCTGACCCTGGCTCCCTGCCAGGGCCAGGTGCCCAGGGGAATCCTGCCAGGCCATGGTGATGAAGGCCACCCTGCCCTGTCCGCAGCCCCGGGGTTCCCATTGTGCACTTTGAAGCCCTTCTCAAGGAGGGACCCAGGCAGGAGCTGGTCGGCCCAAAGGGTCCCAGGGCCAGATGAGACAGGAGCCTCCCAGGCCCCAAGTAGGCAAGAGGATGCTTCCTTCTCAGGGTCCTGACCCCAGCCCCTTCTGGGCCCCATCCTGGAAAATCCCCCGGGCTTGTTCAGAAACCCGAGCTGCCCAGGATTCTCTGGTGCGTGTGCTGCTGCTGGCTAGGCAGGCCAGCAGGAGACGCCCCTGCCCTGCCCAGGGCTGAGGCGGTGATGGCCAGCATGATGACATCCATACTGCCCCAGCCCTGCTTCTCACCAGGGCTTCTGTCCCTGACAGTGGCTGTGCCCCGCGCCCTCAGGACCTGGGCTGCCCCAGGCACAGGGCAGAGCTGGGGAACGTGGTGGTCATAGCTCCAAGCAGCAGGACCTGGCCCCCGGAGGAGCCTGGAAGGGAGAATCAGAGAGTGGATCAGCCTCAGGGAAGATAGCCCCAAAGGACAAAGGGTGCAGGGACTTGGGCTGGCCAGGGGTGGCACAGCAAGGACATTCCCGGTGGTGAGAAAGCACTAGCCAGGGCTAGTGGACGTGATCGCGGGGTGTGGAGGAGGAGGAGGAGGAGGACACGGAGGAGGAGGATGAGGAGGAGGATGAGGAGGAGGATGTGGAGGAGGAGGAGGATGTAGAGGAAGACGAGGATGTAGAGGAAGACGAGGATGTGGAGGAGGAGGACCAGGAGGAGGAGGAGGACCAGGAGGAGGAGGACCAGGAGGAGGAGGAGGACGAGGAGGAGGAGGAGGAGTGCCTGCCCAAGGACAGAGAAGTGGTGTAGGGAGGGAAGGGACAGGGTCCCTGCAGGGGTTCCAGGGGGCCTGGGCCCAGAGACCATAGAGCTTCTGAGCTGGATCGAGTCCCCCAAGCCAGCCCTCCGTCCGGGGAAGCAGGGGCTCCCGCGACCCCAGGGTCCCTGGGGCCGCCCCCACCCCCACCCCCGCAGCTGGCCCGGGAGAGCGAAGAGCGCGCTGCGGAGGGCGCCCGTCCCGTGACTCAGCCGAGCACCGCGAATGTCAAGGGGCGCGGGCGGCGGACTGGGCTCGGTCGAGTCCCTTCCCCGGAGGCCGCAGCGCGGCAGGGGCGGGCAGGCGGGGCACGGCTGGGAAAGGACGCCCGCCCGCCGCCCGCTCCGTCCGGGGTCTGCGCGCGCCCGGTCCCGCCGGCCGCACGTGCGCGCGGGGAGCGCGCCGCTGGCCACGGTGCGCGCGGCCTCCGACTCCCGACAGGCCCGCGGCGCGCGGGGTCGCTCACCGGGCTCCGGCGCTTCAGCGTCACGTTCTTCCAGAGCAGCAGCTGCAGCTGGTGCAGGAAGCCCATGGCGGGGCCGCGCTCCGGCCGCCTCCGAGACGCGGCCCGCTCCTCTGCGCGCCCCGCCAGCCCCGCCGCTCGCCGCGCCGCTCGGCATCGCCCGCGCGGGGGCGGGGTCTCCGGCGTCGGGACCGGCTCCGCGCTGGCTCCGCCCCGGCGGCCTCGGCGACAGCCACTCGCCGGCGCCCGGCCCGGCCCGGCCCGGCCCGCGCCGCCCGCGCTTAAAGCCGCGTTGTGACCGCCAGGGGGCGCCCGCCGCCCCGACCCCCCGCCCTGGCCGTTCCTGGAGCTGGACCCCGGCGCCAGGGGCTTCCCGGTCGCCCCCATCTCGCCAGGCGTTGAAGTGACGTGCCCAGGGCCCACATCTAAACAGAGACTCCCGACTCACCCTCTTCCAGGGCGCCCCTTTCCCAGGAGCACCAGGCCTGCGTGCAGCATCCCCCGTTGGAATCCTTCCTCATAGGCGCCCCAAGGTGGCCACAGGCCCCAAAGGCGCCCTGGGGGGATGCGGCGGGAGGCTCGGCCCCCACCAGGTCATCACCTCTGCCCGCCTTCCTCGCAGAAATGCTGGTAGCAGGAATTTCGTCTGCGCGTATGAGCCAGGTCCCCGTTCCTAGGGGCACTGTGGGGCTGGAAGGGGTCAGCCACTCGCACTTGGGCAGCAGATAGCTCAGCCCTGGCTGGAGACCCCACAAGTGTAGGACAGGAACTGCCCTCAAGCCTTCACAGTCAATGTCCCCGTCCAAGCCAGCACATCCTGACCCACTCCCCTTGAGAGGGGATGGTGAGAGGGGCTGCAGGTGGGCTATAAGAGTTTCCTGTATCCCTTGTGAATGAGCCACTTGGTGACTAAATGGCAGGATGGGCCTGGCTGGGCTATGCCGGGTCAGCTGCTGTCTGGGCATCAGGAGGAAGGCACCCACTGCCCGGGGAACAGCTCCCTGCTGGCAGAGCAGGGAGGGTGCTCAGGGACACTCACGCTGCTCCCTGTATGAGTGGCTCATGTTTGTCCCCACATCTGAGAGTGAGTCTGGCCTCTGCACAGGGACTCGGGGTCCAGTGAATTGGGCAGAGTGGTTTGGCACAGGCTGCAGCAAGGACAGACCCAGGTGCTGCCTGAGGTGCAGGGTGGATTCGCGGGGTGGCCGGCAGAGGGCAGCAGAAGGCTGGCCGCCCCTGAGGGAGGGGAAGCCAGGTGGGTGGCTCTGATGGCTCCTCCCCAGCCTCAGTTTCCCCACTTGTGAATGGGAGAGGTGGGCCTTGTGATGTCCAGTGTCTGGGGGGCACATAGAGGGCGCACCCTAACCTGAATTGTAGACCTGCCGGTGGGGGAGGGGTGGGGGGTCCTGCAGCACCCCACCCCCTCCCAGCTCCTTGGTGTAGGAGGAGGGGCAGCCGGGGCAGGTGGGTGGGGCACAATCCCCCACCCACGACACCCACCCCACCCTGCAGCCTCAGGACACTTCTTTCTCACTGGTCAGCACGTGTGGCTGGGTCAGGGCAGGAAGTCACTGGCAGGTCTTTCCCACGAGCCACTGCCAAGGGGGAGGGAAACTTCCTGCCTCCACCTGCCACCCACCGCCAGCTGGGGCAGCGACCAGTTTGTGCCCCAGCCCAGGGGCTTGGCCTGCTGGGGCCCCTGTCAGTGCCACCCAGAGGCTCACCACCAGCCTCCTTTCTCCTCCTCCGCCCACCCACCCCGCCACAAGGGGCTCCCCCTGGCTGCAGCAACATCCTCCGTGTCCCCTCGCTGCCCATGCGAGACCAGCCGGCAGCCAAGGGGAACCCCACGTCACAAAACAGGTCCTATCACACTCGGGAAGCCCCTGCAGCCTGAACGAAATCCCAAGGCCTCTGAGACAGTGCACCTTCGGTCTCCAGCTGGGTTTCTGACCTCAGCCCTGCTCCCACCCACCTTGGCCTTTCGGGGGTCAGGGAAGGCTCTCCGATGCAGGGCCCTTTAGCAGGGGCTGAAGGAAGCCCCGGGGAGCAGGCAGAGCCTGGTGGGGGAGGGCGTCTCAGGCAGAGGGAGGGGAGAGGCCTTGAGATGGTCCCATCAGGACGAGGAGGCCTGAGTGGGCGGGACGGCAGGGGGAGAGCAGATACAGGGGGCCCTGCGCCATCAGACTCGGCACACGCTGTTCTTGTCCTTTGTTTCTTTATTGACCGAGGCCTCCTGCCTGAGGGGACTGCAGGCTGCAAAAAGCCCAACAACTTGGCTCGCTGGTCACAGTCTCCCAGGGCCCCGCACCGGTCTGCACACAGGGGCTCCAGCGCTGTGGACGGAGAAGGGGGACGTGCCTGCACATCTGAGGCAGGCGAACTCAGTTACAGAGGAGGTGTGGGGGACCCAGGTTTTGCCTCCAGCAACTGCAGGGTGGCATGTCCTCAGCACTGAGGGCCCTGCCTCCAGCCTCTCTCAGCCCCACATCCAGAGAAAGACTGATGCCACCCCCCGAGCAAGATTTGAGCAAGCTGGAGAGGCAGGTCCTCAGCAGCCTCTTATCTTTGATTAACTAGCAACACCCACCCCCGTTGCTCCCTCCCTGCCCTCACCTGCACCCCCAATGCCTGCTCCAATGCCCACCACCCTCCTCCTCCAGCCAGCCTGCCCAGACCACCCACTCCCCCATGAGCCTTGCTTCCTGGGCTCCAACCCCAGACTCCAAGTTAGCCTGAGGGTTGCCATGGGGGGCCGGATGCCTGGTGGTTTGATTTCAACACCCAGCCTTTCACCCACAGCCCTGGCTCCCAACCACCTTCCCCCACCTCCTGTCGTGGGCGGGCTGGAGCTCAGGACTGGAACCAGCCCTGGAGGTCCTGGTAGACCTGGCTGCGGGGCAGATGGGGGTAACGGGCACAGATGGCGCAGAAGCGCTCCCGCCAGTCTTCGACCAGCCGCACGCGGAGCCGGTCTCGCCAGGCAAAGTAGCGCCGATAGGAGCTCTCGTTCATGCCGGTGAGGAAGGCGGCCAGCTCGCGGGCTGAGCCGAAGTCGTCCACGTGCACGAAGGCATCCGGCGGCACGAAGGCCTCATAGGTGGCCCGCGGGGGCCCCAGCACCACGGGCACGGCCCCAGCCGCCAGCGCGTTGCGCCACAACTTCTCTGTGATGTAGTCCCGGTGCTGGGAGTTCTCGAAGGACAGGTAGAAGCGGTACCGCGACACCGTGGGCAGCAGGCAGCTGGCGCACAGCGGTCGCCTGTTGGCGCGGCCGAACACGTCCACCTGCAGGTGAGGCGCCAGCTGCCGATACAGCTGCACGCGCCGCTGCCGCTCCCGGAAGTTGCTGACCACCCAGGCGGCCACCCTGTCCTTGGGCGGCAGGGGTGGCGCGGGCCCCTCTCGGGGCTCCAGGCGGCCGTAGGGCACAAAGATGTCAGAGTCACGCCGGTAACTCAGCACCCAGTTGAAGATGCCGCGGAAGTCACTGAGGCCATGGCTGTTGCTGGGTGACTCCATGGAGGCCCACACCCAGGGCTGCCCGCGTGGCCGTTCGGCCAGGGGCAGGCGGATCCGCCCGTCCCGTAGCTCGCGGTGGTGGAAGACCACGGCGTCGGCGGTGGCCAGCAGGCTGCGGTTGGTGCTCAGGTGGCAGCGGGCCACGCCGTAGCTGGTACAGGTGTTGCTGGGCAGCTCCGGGGGCGGGTAGGTGAAGGGCCAGTGCCAGATGAGGATGGTGAGTGTGGGCTGGGGCATCGGGGCTCCCCCAGGGGAGGATTGGAGTAGCCACAGGAGCCAAAGGGCCATGAGCAGGGCCACCCCGGCCAGGCTCACCAAGGCCCGAAGCCTCTGGGTGGGGCCGTGCCATGCGAAAAGAGGCTGTCTCCTCGGGCTCAACCACAAGCCCCATCCTCCCAGTTCGGGGTTCCCTAAGGACCAGACACTCACCGCCATTATTCATCCACAGCTCCCAGAATCTGTCACCCAAGAAACCCCAGGTTCTCAAATCACAGCAGCCACTGGGCAGAGGCGCCCTGAATCACAGCGGCACCCCGTGCTCGGCCCCACCTGGAAGCGCTCTCCTTTCATCTGCCTGAGATGAGGGAAACCAGGGTCCCTTCCCCCTCCTGCCCCGCCCTGCCCCCGCCCTGGAGGTGAGCTTTGGCATCAACCACCCTTCTCACCTTGCCTCCCTCTAGTCCTCTGGCTGCAGGGGTCCTCCGGTTACAGGAGGGGCGCCAGGCCAGGGCCCAGCCTGTGCTGCCCACCCCTGCCAGCTCTGAGGAGGCCCGGAGACGACCTTCTGTGCAGGCACAGGAGGCAGGAGCAGGAGGGGGCCCTCTTGGCCTCCTGAGCCGAGGCAGCCTCCTCCCCAGAAGGGCACCCCAGAGTCACTGCCTGCCACCCAGGCTAGCGCCACCCCCTGCCACACTGGCATTTCTCACTTCCCTTGCTCACCTCTGCCCCGTTCCGCTGTGGGCTCCCAGACCCTGCAGCCACAGACCTGCTGTGCTCAGCTCTTTGCCAGGAGGCTGAGGTTTCTCCAGTTGATTCTTATTGGGCCACCCCACCCCACCCAACCCCACCCCTGCCTCCTCTAGGACACCTTATCCCAGAACCCAGATTCTCAGAAGAGGGGTCCGTCGGGGGTCCTAAGAGAGTCTGTCCACACGAGGCCCCAGCACATGCCCACAGTGGGCAGATGCCAGGCTGGGCTGGCCCCGGAGTGGACTATAGGCCACCACACCTTCTCTCCCCGCCCAAGGACGTGTGTCCGTAGAAGCCCCTGGCTGTGGGTGGGCCCTGGCTCCTGGCCAAGCAGAAGGAACGTGGGGTGGGAGGGCTGCCCTTGGGGTCTCCAGGTCTCTTCCTCCAGCCCCCACAGCCCAGGATGGGGGTGGGGAAGGGAGGGCTTTCCAGGCTGGAAGGAGAAGGCGTCGTTGTGTCTCTGACGGGGACGGGCAGGGGGCTGGCACCCGCTCCAGGAAAAGGAAGGCTGATGTCCAGAGTCCCTCTCCTCCCCGGCCTCCAGCCAGCCCGGGGGCCCTGACCTGGAGGTCCAGTTCCTTCCCCTTTTGCTCTGGTTCCTCTGATCTGGAGATGCAGCAAGCCAGCACGGCCAGACTTCCCCGAACTCCAGCCCTCACCCCACTCTTAGCTGAGGTGGTGCCTCTCAGCTTCCTTCACCCCAGCCGGATCCTTGCTTGGTCCTGGACGTGGTGCATGCGGCAAGGCTCCTCCCTCATGCTCAGCATCCTGGAGGCCTCAGGCTGCTCAGGTTCTTGGGGGCTGTGAACCGGGGGTTGTGTAAGGAAGAGCAATCAGGAACCGTTGCCCAGTCTGCCACCTCGTGCCATCCTGAGGGCCTCCCACTGCCCCACCATCCCTGTCCTGCTGCATGCTCGGGTCGCAGGGCTGCTGGCCTCCCCCAGCTCTTGTCCCCAGTGAGGACCAGACTGCCATCGGGGTGGAACCAGGGAGCTGGCAGCAGACCCACTGGGGGGGCAGAGGCAAGTCCAGGAGAGGGGGCCAGTTTGGCCCCTCTGGGGCTCCCCACCCCCTGCATAACCACCAAGCTGTGGTGGGGCCTTGTGCAATATCGAGGGAGGGGAGGGAGGGCTGTGGGTGCTGTCAGAAACCATGAGGCAGGCCCAAGGTGTGTGTGCAAAAGCTGGGCCTGGCATCCCAGGGCCTGGCCCGAGCAGGTGGCTGCCACCATCCCCTGCCCTTCCGGCTGCCCAAATATTTAAGGAGAGGACCACGGTGGCACTGGGTCTTTTGCCCGACCCTGGCATCTGTTCCTGGGCAGGGCCACCCCAGGAGAGAAACACCCTGGCTAATGGCCTCGCTTCAGTGCACCCCTTCTCCCCATAGCAGGCACCCTGTGGGCGGTGGTGGGCATGCAGGAAGGAGCTGGTCCTGCCACAGCCTGCCAGCCACATGGCTTCTGGCTGCCAGCACCTTTGCCCTTCCTGTTTGCACTGCCAGGCTGGCCGGGGTGCTTACCACAGGCCTCACCCTTACCCGTGCCCAGATCCCTTCCTGGGAGGATTCAAAAGAGCCTCTCCCACCCTTGGCCCTGGTCTGCTGCTCCCCCGCCAGCCCGCCAGCTCACATTGGCAGCCACCACGCCCATCGTGGGAACCTGCCAGCTGGGAAACAGGGCTCCGAGGTTTGGTGCAGAAATGGGTCAGAATGAGAGCCGCTCAGAAGAAGAGCAGGTGAGAGAGCGTGACTCAAAGAGAAAGCAGGGCCTCATCCTGCTGACTCCCCCCAGGCCTCGGAACTCGCCAGGCCGCGGGGCAGGCATCTGACTCCAGCTCCACTGCTCTCGAGCACCTCGGAATCAGGTGCACACTGTCACCCTCCCAGCTGAGCCCCAAACCAGCTCCGGGGCCAGCCCCTTGGTGGGCACCTATTGAAGAAGCGGCCACCAGCGGGGCATGCCCCCAACAGAGGGCCGGCCAGTAGCCTGTGGATTGCCACCCCCTCACAGACAACAGCAGCCAGGGCAGTGGCAGAGCACCCAGCCCGAGGGGCACCCCAGGGAGAGAAGGGCAGAGTCTAACTGCCGGCCCACTTGTCCCAAGGAAGGGCTGGCCTGAGCAGGGCAGAGTCCAGACCTGGGCCCAGAAGGCCCCCTGGTGGCCGAGCTCCAAGCCACCTGACTCCAAGGAGTGAAGGCAGCAGAGATGAGCCAACACACACTTTATGCTCAACA